TTTTTATTCAGAAATTATGGTCGCTACAAATTGGATGGGACGACGAGATACCCGCCGACGTACTGCATAGCTGGAAGACAGTGTCATCATGCTTTGCAGATTTAGAAACGTTAAAAATCCCTCGACATGTCGGTACTCAGTTAGGTGGCTCTTATGAAATCCACGGGTTTGCGGACGCGTCAGAGGATGCCTACGGTTGTTGTTTGTACGTAAGGTCAGTGACCTCAGAGGGGATAAAGGTTAGATTGCTAACAGCCAAATCCAGAGTCGCACCGATCAATAGACTTAGTGTTCCACGGCTAGAACTCTGCGCGGCTCATCTCTTAGCAAAGTTGTGGAGTGATGTGCAAACACTCAATCTTTACAGCGCCGAGCATATTATCATGTGGTCGGAGTTCGGAAGTTGTTCTCTTTTGGTTGAGTACTCATCTGTCGAAGCTTAAAACATTCGTTGCAAATAGGATTTCGGCTATTCACGAGCTGGCTCCAACTGCAGTCTGGCGACACGTCCCAACTAACTTCAATCCAGCGGACCTACCCTCTCGAGGAACTACGGTCAAAGATCTTGATACGTCCCTTTGGTTCGAAGGCCCTTCGTTTTTGTCCATGGACTCGACCCATTGGCCAGTTAACCCACACTTGGCTAACATGCCCCTCGAAAGCCAACTGGAAATGAAACCGCCAGCAATCGCTCATATGGTTGCTGTTGTTTCCAATCATCCTTTACTACAGGTAGTCGAAAATTCGTCTTCCTATGTAAAGGTCTTGAGAATTACAACCTTTATCTTTCGTTTTGTGTACGGCAGGACCTGGAACTTGTGGAACGAGCACGTAGTATCAGCTGCAGAACTTAGTTTTTCATTTTCTATTATCGCGCAGGCTGTTCAGCGCGAATCCTTTGCGGTCGAATTTAAGAAACTAAAGAACAATTTGCCATTACCTAATTCGTACCAAAACCTCAGTCCATTTATCAGCAATGAAAGTTTTGGAACTCGTACTTTAACCTTGGTGCGAGTAGGCGGTCGGCTAGCGCACGCGGATCTAGAAGCCAGTGCCAAATTCCCGATATTAATGCCCAAGGGGAATCGTTTTGTAAAATTATATATCGAGCACCTGCACTACGCTAATTGCCACGCAGGACCGCGCGCGCTAGTCGGCCTGCTTCGGCAGACAATTTGGTTGATCAATGCTCGACGCGAGTGCAGTGCTGTTGTGCGACGATGCACGCACTGTTTCCGATCTGCCTTTTGACCGTGTCAGAGTCAGTCGACCTTTTAGAATAAGCGGAGTCGATCTGTTCGGCCCAATCAAGGTGTCGCTAGGAGTGCGTGGCAAGGCAGCTCTAAAAATGTATGTCGCAGTCTTCATATGTTTTGCCACGAAAGCGGTTCACCTAGAACTGTTGAAAGATCTAACTTCTAACTCATTTATCCTCTGTCTCAGCAGATTTGTTGGGCGGCGCGGCCCGCTCGAACGACTGTATTGCGACAACGCAACCAATTTTGTCGGTTCCGCAAGGATGCTTGAAGAAATGGCCTCCGATGTCCGGTCGTATCGCAACACATTGGGAACGTACGGCGTCCATCACCAGGTTGAGTTCGTATTCATTCCGCCCCGGGCCCCCCATTTTGGAGGCCTATGGGAGGCGGCCGTCAAGTCCGCTAAGAATCTGTTTTTGAAGTCCGTCGGAAATGCCTTGCTCAAGGAGGACGAAGTTCAAACGATCCTAGTTGAAGTGGAAGCGGTATTGAATTCGCGTCCGCTGGTAGCTGACAGCAACAACCCCAACGACGGAGAGGCAATAACTCCAGCCCACTTTCTGGTAGGCACCACACTCGCTGCGCTACCCCCAGGATCGGTTCCTCCTCATCCGGAGGATGACTTAACGCACCTTCAACGGTGGCACCTTATATCAGCCATTAAACAACGGTTTTGGCAAAACTGGTCTCGTGACTATATTGCGGGACTGCAGCAAAGAGTCAAGTGGACAAAGGAATCGGCCAACCTTCGACCAGGAACTATCGTCGTCATCAAAGAAGACAATTTACCGCCACAAAAGTGGCTGTTAGGCAGAGTCACAGAGGTAACGCAAGGAGCGGATGGCAAGGTTCGAGTTGCTATAGTAGACACCAAACAAGGCGTGTACAAGCGATCAGTACACCGACTAGCACCTCTACCAATTGATTGAAGGCTTGCAGCGCTTCAACGCGGGCGATGTTTGACTATCGAAAGCTGCGAGCAGGGGCGTAGCCCAGCTGATATCGCTAATAAATAATACCCCCAACGAGTCGGCAAGCAACGAACATACTAAAATTTCATAAAGTACTAAGTTGAGAAAAATACCTATGTACGATGGCAAGAACGGAAAAAAGAGAGTTGGTAACACTAAGTTAACGAAACTCTTGGAATAAAGCACACACTTGAAAATAAGCCGGCTACACGTTTTTGTTTCGATTTTTCTGGATAAAACCCAGTGGGTTCGCGAAGTTGCATTTTTTAACCCTGCTCTGCGAGCAAACATATTTAATTCCGAAAAGATTACCAAAATTGGTTGACCACTCTTGAAGACATTTCCCAAAAGACGAAGCAAATTTGTGATTTTCTTAAATTAAAGATACCGCAAATACCAGAGCTGATGGACTATAGGCGTAGTGGCAACTTATGCTTAGAAAAGCCTCATTTATCGAAATAAAATGGTGGAATGTACTTTGTACAGCGCCTCACGTGATGCTTCCCTGGCGCAGCTAGTAACTGCAAACTGTGAGGTAAGAGGTTCGATTCCCACGAGCGACCAAAATGTTTTTCTCAAGATGGTAAGTTATTTGATTTTTATACCCTTGTAGAGGGTATTATAATTTCAGTCAGATGTTTGCAACGCAGTGAAGGAGACGTTTCCGACCACATAAAGTATATATATTCTTGATCAGCACCAATAGCCGAGTCTATCTAGCCATGTCCGTCTGTCCATCTGTCCGTCTGTCCGTTTCTATGCGAACTAGTCTCTCAGTTTTAAAGCTATCGCGATGAAACTTTCCCAAAAGTCTTCTTTCTATTGCAGGTAGTACATATGTCGGAGCGAGCCGGATCGGGCCACTATATCTTAAGGCTCCCATAGGAATTCATAGAAATATAAGAAAATTCATTGTAACTTTGTAGGAAGTAGGCATTTTGATTCTTGACTACTTAAAAACAAAATTTAAATAAATAGAAACGCTGAATCTGGAATCCCTGGAACTGCACCGAGTGAGCATTCTTTTATTTGCAAGGGTATATAAGCTTCGCCTGGCCGAAGGTAGCTTCTTTTCTTGTTATATTCATCATTTGTAAGTAATATAATTATTTCAGTTATTATTTCAGCTAAATTATGAAACTAAAGGTGTGTTTAACTACGTACATCGTGACGACATCCGTGTGTTTAGAAACATAAGTTGCGAAACGGGAATCAACAACAAACACCGTCAGAGGGGAGTAACCGGCATTCTCCGATTTTTATTTTCTTCTTCTTATTCAACTTTGGAAATACTTTCCCTAAATTTAAGAAATTTTTTTCTGTTGTTTAGAAAGGCAGCTGCCTTTGGCTTAAAAAGTATGGTGATTTTATAAAATTCAGGGCGATTTTTTTTCCTAGTGCACCAAAGGCTCGCAAACGATCCGTTTACTAGATATCGAAAACGAATCTTTCTCTGCTACAAACTGAGAGACCAGTCATTCGTTTTTTATCGTTTTCGGATCTGAGGTGATAGTTGTTCTCCGTTTAGGTTTCGCGCAACTATCGTTTGCGATATCGCTAACGAACATATGGTCCACTGGGCGAATAAAAACATATTAAAGTATTCACGTTTTTGATTGCTTGCAGTTTAAGCTTCCGTACTTGATCAGAAATTCGAATCTAAAGACTAATAACACTATGCAATATCAAAACTCCTCGAAAGGTGCAATATTTTTGAATTCGTTACGAATTCCCAGTTTAACTTTTCCAATTCTTAGCACAATTACCTCAAAGTTCGAAAAATGCAGAAACTTGCCATCTTTCCGGAGGTCTTTCTTAAAGCATACACTCTATACCTTTCAAACCCCACACTTAAAATAATTTTATGATTTTTTTTAAACGGAGAAACACATTCTAGAAAACTTAGTTAAAGAACTTAAAAACACACAACTGCGGTCAAAATAGTAGTTGTGTTGCCGCCCTGTGTTTTAAAAAGTTTGTTGTTGTAACTTTTTTTTATTCAATTAGCCTAATAATGTAACGTAGTTCTTTAACCGGGGTAAAATCTCAATCGGGACCAAGGAACCTATACAAGAAATTTATATAGAAGGGTGAAACCTGTAGTAGGAATTTATATGAGGGGGTTGTAGGACGCCTGGAGACGGGTGCTCTTCGATAGGGCTACCGATCGCAAAGAAATTTCCGCACAGATTCTAGTCGCTTTTTTGCGTGAGAGCCGTTAGTGAATATTATCGTACCGCGAGGTTGACGACGAGGCATTTGGGCCATAGAATTAACTTCAGATCCAAAAATCCTCTTGATCGGAGCAGCGGTTTAGATTTTTCAAAACGAAAAGTGAATTAGAAATGTAGCCCCCAAATTATGGGGAATATCGAAGTTTCTTTATATTTCTAATTATCTTTTTATAAACCTAAAATATGGTTAAATCCTGTAGAAGTTAAGCATTAAATACATTAATTTTTGTTGCTCAAAATATTGGTGCTGGAGCTGTTTGGGTCCACTGGGGGGACATGTCGGATCTTAGTGGGCGCCTACGCCCCCAATGGAATACTTTGCAAAATTTTGGCTGCTATAGCTCTTACGGCTTGGGCTGTGGTCGTATCCCCTTAAAAATCGGTCTTTTAATTTATAATCTCTAAAGACTAGACTTTGTAGCAGGGACCATGCTACAAACTTCTTACCAAAAACTTGTCTCTAAAAATAAGTATACGTGTAGCGTTGGGTGCGATAGTTTTAGTATGTTGGTGTTGTACATAGAAGGAGGACTCACCGACAACTGAAAACATCATGGTATACCCCACCGGCGGTGTTGTTGATATTTGACATTCGTAGGTTCCCGAATCTCTTAGTTGAGGAAATTTTATCTTAAAAAATAGAACAATTTTAAAATGTTACTCAATTTTATCACCCTGTTTGAAAATTATAGTGTTTGTTTGGTAATATAAATTTTACATTATAACGACAACAACTGATTGAAAAGTTTTTGATCTAAGCCCTATATTATATAAATAGGTGAGGTCTGTAGGTTGGTACACCTTTTGTTATACTCTTGCAGGGGGTATTATTATTTTGGTCAGAAGTTTGTAACGCAGTGAAGGAGACTGTAGGATTTCTACCGAAATCGGGTTTGCTGAAAAGGTTTTTTTTGCGTGCCTCAAGTACAGAACCAGTGGCAAAAGTCTCCGCAATAAGTACAGAACAAATTGGGCTGCGGAGAAGTGAATACGTCAAGATTTCTTTTCGTATTGATTTTACTGAGCATGGCTACGGGTTTATATACATGATTTGGGGTTACAAGGATATTTACTTAGGTCTAGTCTAGATACAAATGGACAACATGGTTTATTATCAGTTTACAAGAAAATAGCCTAAATAAGCAATTACATATACCAAATGGTGTGAAGACACGTCCGTCGGCTGGATGCATATGGTTTATGACCCGTTTATCACATGCAGATGTGCGCAGACCAAGATATCAGCTACCTATTTATTTAGTTCAAAGTAGCTATCAGCAACGAACGAATTTCTGATTAGTCGAAATCGTACATACTCCCGGCCGTTGAACTAGTTTTCAACAATCGTTAATGTTGATTGTGAAAGGCTGGATCGAAGAACCGTATCTATTTACAGGTGTGGTCGTCGGCATTTGATTCAGCTGAAGGGTATTTCGAGGTTTACGCCAGTTCTTCATAAAGTGAATTACAATAATGATTATTATAAAAACTAATGCATTATAGATCGAAATATGATGATGTTCAATAGTCTCAAGATTATGTGGTAATTTAAATCTATTGAAAGGCTGGAGTTGAGCTTCTCGTTGATACAACTCCTTGTAGTTAAGGTTTAAGTCTTCCATCAAACTTGTAGGGGTAGATCTTGTTGAATTAGGTCGTAAATTCTGTGTGAGTTCTCCTCAATCAATCTCTGACATTTCAAAAACTCATCCCGATGACTGTTATTGCGATGTATGGGGTTTTAATTTCAAACATACTGATTCCATCTTTTGCCAGAAATGGAAATGGTGTCAATCTGCAGATATCCAAAATCTGAGTAGATACCAATGGCAAGTTTACCCTGATAATGACATGCTCTTTTATGATGGTTCCCCCAGCCTTCATCATCTGATATGCCATTAATATATTATCAGAAGAAACTGACAGCATTTGTCCAGGCTTTAAATGGTTTCGTATCTGATCTAACTGATCCTTTAATTGCCTTGGGGACAGCAACATCGGACTTATTGTGTTGTGCCGAATAACAGTTAAAACGTTTATGATTTCGTTTTGCATTCTTTGCAAACTAGAGGCTAACAGAAATAGTTTAGTTGCAAGTGTTATGTACCATGAAAATTTATTAAATCTACTTTCAGTATTAGTTGTTTCTGCAATATAATTCTCTATCGATTTTAACCGTTTGGAATTCGAGATCTCATCCCTTTTGATGACATTAATTGTAGAGTCAATCAAAGATGTTTGATTTCTTAGCAAAGTAAGCAAATGCTTCTCATTCGCCCTAACCTTTGTTATCGCTTGCACCATTTTATCAGCATAAGTGGAGTCCAATACGCCGAAAAGACTACTGGCAATTTTTCCAACGATATCCAACGGCGCTCTTTGCTGACGTGATTTTGTTATAAGCATATTTTTCAGCTTGAAGATCCTCCTCGATGTGTTTAAAGTGTTGATACATGCTTGCACATGCCTCTGTTTCTGAAAACTGCTTGCACAAGTGCCCATCGAAAAAGTACTCATATCCTTCCAGTAACAATTAAAGTCCAATCCGTTTTCGCAAGTTGACTCTTTCCAATCCTTTCGAAGAATATTCCTGGTTTCGATGTAAATTGAGTAACGTTAATTGATTGATAGAAGAAGCATAACTATTAACGCTATTGTCAGCGATGGCATTGCTGATTTTTTCGCCCTTTTCGCCTGCCTCCCATCAGGTGTATTCTCATCTTCCTCTAAGGTAGCTGGATGCTTATGAACAGGTTCCTTCTCTAAAAATAGTGGGGCGATATGTTGAATATCTCGTTTAAGTTTTACTCCTTTACTCGTTTTGACTTCTACAACTCTGACAAAATTATCCTGGCCATGAATTGTCTTAATTATTCGTCCCAATGGCCATGGCAGAACTGGAGTATTGTCTTCCTTTATCAACACTAATGCTCCTTCCTTTACGTTTGCTGAGGATCCTTTCCATTTTTGACGATGCTGAAGTTGTTGCAGATAATCAGACCATTAAGTCCAAAACGTATGCTTTAACTTGGATTCGGCTTGCCATCTCTGTCCCAATGATTGTGGTTGCTGAGATGGCTCACTATCTGCTTGTGCGGTTAATGGTTCTCCAATTAGAAAGTGACCTGGGGTAAGTGCCGTCACATCATTTGGATCGCTCGATATCGGAATCAAGGGTCTTGAATTCATGATAGCTTCTATTTCCACTATCACAGTTTCTAATTCCTCATTGGTCAGATCCGCTGTACTTACCGCCGCTTCCCAAAGTCCTCCAAAATGCGGTGCTCTTGGTGGGATAAACTTAAAGTTGACGCCTTTATTATTGCAGGTCTCCATTATAGACCTCTTGGCCTTTTCTGAGAACTCCTGAAGCTTATTTCTTGCTCCAACAAAATTCGTAGCGTTGCCGCAGTGTAGAGTCTGACATTTTCCTCGACGACTTATGAATCGACAAAGTGCTGCCAAAAATGCTTCTGTGGTTAAATCGCTGACTAATTCCAAAGACACTACCTTGGTCGAAAAGCCACAAAAGATTGCTATGTAGGCAGTATGCAGTTTCTTTCCACGAATTTTATAGCGAATCTTAAATGGTCCACAATAATCAACTCCAGAATTAAGAAACGGTCGAGCTTGTGTGACTCTTAAAGGTGGTAACTGTCCCATTATTTGTTTCATTAACTTTGGTTTAGCTCTGGTGCATCTGACACAATTTAAAATAACATTTCGAGCTATTGTTTTTGCTTTAATTGCCCAATATCTCTGCCTTGATGTGGCTATTAGAGTTTGGGCACCACAATGCATATTATCCTTGTGGATTTTTTCAAATATTAATTTGACTATTGGATCATTATATTGCAATAGTACAGGATGTTTTGCATCGAATGAAAGTTCAGATGCTTTCAATCTGCCTCCACCTCGAATGAGATCATCCTGATCCAAGAAAGGCGTTAGGGCGCTGAGATTACTGCCTCGTCCGACTTCCCGGGATTTCTTTAGCTCTTTGATTTCAGCACTAAAATTATTGTGCTGAATTAGCCGGAGAACTATATTCCGAGAATTTTCCAATTCTTCAAATGTCACCATTGTAGCTGCATCTGAAGATTTCCTTTTGAAGCGCAAGATGTAGGGTACTATTCTTAGTAACTTGTCAAAGGAATTCCCATGGTTTATACCGTAAAGCCAATTCGGACTTTGCCTGGTAACTACCAAGATTTCTGGGTTACCCTGGGGAAGTGCACAGCGTTCTGATTTTTCCGCAACAAATGGTAGTGGCCATTTGGATGATGGACCATACAAAAACAGTGGGCCAATAAAGCCAAAGACTGAAATTGGTGAACTTGGAACCACTTATTCCTCTTGACGCTATGTCTGCAGCATTGTTTTCTGGTGGATGCTTCTTGAATGGTGGTAATTCTAGTAGCCACAAATTTGTTCTTAATTGTTTTTGGGCTATTTATCCAGAATAACACAATTTAGGAATCGCCCAAAAATATGTTGCAGTCCCTTGCAGAAACAATTGTTCTTTTATGGTCGCTGTTAATTAAGCACCTAATACTACTGGCTTTAATTCCAGTCTCGGAAGTGTGATCGCTTTAACAGGGGCCAAACGCGATTTTGCACATTATAACTGTACAGTCACTCGTTTATCCTTGTGAACTGCACGAAGATATATGGCTGCAGCATACGCATTTTCTGAAGCGTCGACGAACGTGTATATCTCGTTCGACACAGGAATTTTTCCATCAAACACATGACGAGGAATTTGATTGTCATTCAACATTTTTTTTTGCTTCCATTCCGATTGTAAGTGTGTTGGCAATTCTTCGTTATGTTAAGCCTTGCATGAATATTTTGGCCTTTATGACTACTGGAGAAAATAGTCCGAGAGGATCAAATATTTTGAATATTTCTGAAACCACATCCCGTCTTGTTATTTTGTCCAGGGACCGTAATTATTATTTGTGATTTTTATTTTAAAAAGACTACTGTGATATTTGGCTTTAAACGTCAAAAATAACGTTCCTTTTACTCTTGTCCACAAAGTATATGCATTTCAACAAATCTTGAAAGCAAATTAACTGTTATTTGTTCATGTCTATAAAGTGCATAAAACCAGTTAAATTGTTGATTAAAACTTCTAAAAATCTCAGTAGGCCTTTTAAAATAAAAATCACAAATAACTGTTATTTACGGTCCCTGATTTTGTCTGTGGTCACAGTTTGTATTTTTCTACAGAGTTTGTCAATCGCAGGATTCCAAGTGATTCCCAAAGTTTTAATGCTGCAGTCCTCATAGGCAGCATCTTCAAATTGTACTGTAGGAATGATATCTTCCTTATCCAATCCTTGAAGAAGATGGTTACTATTTGCGCACCATTTTCTTAATTCAAATCCGGAACTTAATAGAATGTGATTAAGTCCTTTTGAATTTAAAGTGCCTCTGGTATTGTATGAGCTCCGGTGATACAATCGTCGACATAAAAATAATTTTTAAGAGTAGACGATCCTATAGGATATTTCTGCATTTCCTTGCTTGCTAAATACTCCAAGCATTTCGTCTCCAAATATGGTGCAGACTTTGTGCCATAAGTGACGGTTTTCAATCAATAAAACTTAAGCCTTTCTGACGGA